AAAACAACAAAAAAACCCCAAAACCAACCAACCAACCAACAAAAAGTGTGGTATGGTTGATCTGAATAAAAGAATCATTTAAGTCTGAGATTTATCATCTCCTTTATGTGGTTCACCATACACTGCACAAACTAATCATACCAGCATAAAAGATGTAGAGGCACAGGGCAGTGAACAAGAACCAGGACTGCCACTTTTCGTAGCAGTAGTTTTACTGGTTTGCTGCTTGAGGAGTTATCAGGTCCCTGAAGCCAAGTATCTGTGCCTTAAAGACTTTCTTGGTCTCCTGCATCAATTACTTTAGCAGTAAAACCAGAAGTGTGTGTGGAAGCTCTCCAAGACCAATGCCCAAAGGTGGCATGCACCCATGTAACCTAAAGGACACCTGGACCAATTCATATACCAAGGGTGTTTTGGATAATTTTCTGGTGCTGCATCTCATTATGACAAGCTACAGAACAGCTGCATACAAGTTGCTTATATGTAATACAACTGTTGTTTTGCATAATGTCTCAGTGGTCACTTAGAAAGTGTCCCCCCTCCAACAAGAAGGATTAATTTCTTCCTGACGTGACCTCAGACACCATCAACAATGGCTGTCATCCCCCCCAACTGGGTCAGGCTGGGATGGAGCTAACCAACCTCCCTCCTTTGGCTTTGGGTTTGTGCCCAGAGCAGCGCTGGGAACGCACGGGTGTCCCGGGCGGTGCTGAGCCCTGCCCGCACAGCGCCGAGGGGCTCTCGCTTCTTCCCCTGGAGTGGGCACAGCCAGGACAGCCGACCCGAACTGACCGAAGGGATATTCCGTACCACGCGCCGTTGTGCTCGGCGATAAAAGCTCAGGGCAAGGAGGAGGAAGCAGGAACAGTCGTGGTCGTGGCGTTCATCTTTCCAAGGAACTCGTGCCAAGGCCTTGCTTTCCTGGAGGCGCCTGGACATCAACCCGCCGGTGGGCAGTAGTGAATGACACGCGCCCTGTGCCTCGCTTGCAGGAGCAGCACTTGCCTTTCCAGCTAAACTGTCACTGGCTCAGTCCATGAGCCTTCTTGCCCGGCTTCTATTTTCTCCCCATCCCATGGGAGAGGGGAGTGGGCGAGGGGCTGAGTGGGTGCTTGGCTGCTGGTCAAGGTCAACCACATCACACAGGGAGGGAACAAGCGACCGCCACTTGCTGAACTGCTGGCCTGGGCAAAAAATGAAGCTCTACACAATGTGGCTCTGCAGTTAGTCTGTTAATAATAAGATACACGTGTAGAAACAGCCAAAGAACTAGTGTTAAGGTAGGGTACACGTAGCCTGTATAATCAAAATACATACTGGAAGTGAATTCCTTTAAAACATAACCCATCGAGAAGTCTTCATTTATTTGAATTACATGGACAGTTCGAAATATACCTATTTGATTCAATTGTGAAATTCATTTTGGATGAGGCAAAAAGTGACATCCTACAATATATTTTTTGTTTGCAATTCATCAGAAAATTCAATTTGTGCCAAGGATAGTGATTTAACATGAAAAAATAGCACACATTCTCTAAAAAATATTTATGTTTGAAATCCCCACTGGAATGAAAAATTAAATTCAAGCTTAATTTATACAAGGCCTGCACTGCAATAACACCACTTAATTGAATAGCAGACATTTTCAAGTCCCACTAAACGTGAAGCACAACTCACCTTTTAACACCATTAAAAAAAGCATCTGAAAGCGTCTTTAAATCAAATATAATAGTACACATATACGAAATCTGTCTGTTAAGTGCTCAGTTATGTATCTGTGTCCCATCACCTTATCAGCGCTCATATACAGTCACATCAACTATTGAGCTAGACATAGGTACCATGATTGCACATAGAGAACCCAAGGGTTAGGGCTTCCTGCTTCAATCCCAGCTGCCACAGAGCAGCTCATGGAATTTCTCTCATAAAAACAAGCACCAACCTCTCTGCCACAGTTCTTTCACACAGAGGTGGTACCAGCCACTGACTAGAAATGTCCAGAAAACAGCCAAGAGATTTGAAAAAAATATTTTAAGATATTTAGCCAGCTACAGACAAAATCGGGTTACCAGCCACTTTTCTACAGCCCATGGACCAAACTTCAGTTTTACAGAAATGTTGACTGAGTCTGAGGAATAGGTAACACGTTTCCTAAAAAAGTTACTACTCCTGCACACAGCCCACTTTGTTACTTTTTTTCCAATCCCGTTTGTAACACAAATCAATCTGCAAATGCACTTTTAAAATTTCTCTAACATCTTCAGCATCGTTGCTTCTGTTGTCTAACAGGGAACAGTCTGAGGACAGCACAGATTTTACCTACAGAAATTCAATCCCAAACTTGGTAAGGCTTCATTTGTATCAGAACAGGATGCATGAACCATGCTAGCAATACTGAAACTTTTTCACAGTCCAAATTCTGAACGCCAAACCATTTAAAACAAAATCTTTTTTTCAAGTTACGCTAGAGGCTTGTAACAAAATTATTTAGAAAAGTGAGGAAAAAGTGCCTCACTTACTTTGAACTAAAACATTCTCTCAAAAAGTGAAAGCTAGAATACCTTTTACAGCTTTCTGAAAAGTTTCAGCAATGGAGCTCAATAATATATTTTAAAGTAGTGAGGAATCTGATTCCTTACTGCTTTGGCTGACTGGGAATAAAGAATTTTGTAGAGTACTATGTGAAGAAAAAATAGAGAATAATTCAAGAGACACCATCAGCATCTTAAATTTGTCCACTAGAAAACTGTAAAGATTTTAAGAAAAAACTTGTTAGTGACAAAACTGGGCTTGTTGAACATTAACACCTTAATTTTAATTAAACTACAGATCAAAACAAAAATGTTGCTAATACAATCAACATCACAAGTATTTCCACATCTGGTTCTTAAAGCAATTAGGACCTATTATAACACATACATATAGCCTTCATATTCTTCAGGAAGATTACCCACAACAATGAATACAAACCCTCCAAACCTGACATGGGTTTGAAGGCCATTGGCTACAGTGTTCACTGGGTGCAGATGCAGTCATTACAGACGAACAGGCCAGGCACACATTTGCTAAATATATTCGATACAGCTGAAGCGTTAAGTGATTACTATGGGCAATTAAGTATAGCATCATTCTTTTATAGTTTGTTTTTTTTTTTTTTTTTTAACCTCCCAGTATCAAAACAGTTGTGGAAACATTCACATTGATTTAAACTTCCAAGAAGCTTCAGTCAATTCTCCTTTTTGTAACTGACCCTCTGGCCCTCAAACAGAAGAAAAAGCTCTCAAGAATACACTTTCAAAACAAATCAAATTGCCCAAACAGGCAGAATATGCAAAATCCCTCTCAAGGAGAGACCTATATAAATGTAATTTTAACTTTGGAAAACATAACACTATGATGAGAAGTATGACATTTTAAATGCTCACCCCAAAAGATAATTATCTTCAAGTCAAACATTAAAAAAAAAAAAAATCACGCCCCCCCCCCCCCCCCCCCAAAAAAAAAACCACCCCAAAACAGGCTTGCAGGAGCTAAACAAGTATTGCCTCCTTTATAGCCTTACAACTGTAACCAAAAATGCATTCAGAGTTTATTCATATTTGTTAATTCTGAACAATCTAAATCATTTGTGTATAAAAGAAATACATAACGACACATCCAGAACATCCAACCCATGGCATTTTTTCGGTCACTGTGATCCTGATTAAGGCCTCTCACAGTGTTTGTAGTCTCAGACTAAATCCGTCCCTAACAATCAGGAATAGTTTGGTGGAGGATGCGGTTCCTCTTGATTGCAACGCTTTGCAAGGCTGCCTGTCAGCAGGAAGGAAACTACAGCTAAAGAACACTGCAGAGGGCATTTGGCCTTACTGTTGGGAAGCAGAGCAAGCCTATCTACTCCGAGCCTTCCACAGCAGCTGCTCACTGTTAGTTCAGGAGCAACCTTCTCATCCTTGAGATCCACATGCTTAATACGAAGGGAAAAGATCAACAATTATATGCAAAAAGGAATGGCAAACTTTACTTTAAGGGCTGATAGTATTTCTTAGCAGCCATAGTTGTCATTCTAAGAAATGACAGAATTCCACTTAAATACGCTTTTTCTAAACATATGTATATTCATGTTCAATTATAAATTTCTTCCAAGATCTTAATATGTTGCATACAGTCTTTTGTGGCTACATATCCTGAATAACTCAGAACAACACATAGTTAATTGACAGACTTGCCTATTGCATTTCTCAGTTTTAGACATTTCCCTCCCCCCTTCCATAGTTTAATTTTATCATAATTTTTGACAAAAACATTTTGCAGGTACACTTCAAAGTGAACTAGGTGCTCCAAAAAACCTGAAACTAACTTGCTTAGTATCTTTGAACCAAAGCACTTATTATCTAAGTTCTAACGCCTTTATGTATTCTATGCCATGTTAAATGAACTGCCAAGATGCACAATGCTCAACAGTGAACAAAGGCATGATGCTTCACAGTAATTTCCTGGGCAGGAAATGAAAGGCTAGAGATACACTGAGCTGTGAATCCTTGACTTTCACCGCCTAAGACTCTTCTTATTAACTGATGAGAGATAGCACATTGACGATATTAAAAACAAAATCTATACTGATTTAGCGCTCCAGTGTTTGTTCACAACTGGTGAGAGAAGTTTAATAGGGCCTCAAATTATTGTAACAACTTGATTTATCTATTAAAGCCTTTTTGTATTACTTGTATTTGCTTTAGATGGTACAAATAACATTTGTAAAAGTAAACTGCTCCAGAAGAAAAGAAAGCTCTGTCATATCCCACACATCAACAGCCTAGAGATGAAAGGTATGTTCTACTCTGTAATAAACAAGTATTCCCACTGTTCTTCATTATTCACAATATATATAACATCCAAGGACCTAACTGTTGTTAGCTATCCCCTCTATCTAGTTCTTATATCAACAACCAGACAACTAGATTTTTTTCTCTAAAGATGATTTAATTAAAAACACTAAATCAGCTTTGATTTTTATTTTATATATGTACAATAGTTACCAAATAATGAATACACTGAATCAGTTATGTTAAATTTCACATAACGTCAAAGGACATCAGCATGGCATGGAATAAACTCACATTGCCTTTTGCGTATACAAAAAATGCATTAATGTTAGTTGTGATTACTATTATGGTTTGTGGCTTGTTTGTTTGTTTGTTTGGGTTTTTTTAATAACCTGCTTACTAGTTCTCCAAATAATCTTGGCATAAAAACAGTGAAAGTAGTTAATTGATCTGTTAATATATTAGCAAAGATAAACATTAGTAAAATTTGCAAGAAATCAATTGCAAAATTACCTCAAGTGTAGGACTGAATGTATTCACATGAAAGTTACCTTCAGTTAGAAAAGTTCTGAAAAAGAGCTCAAGTTGGAGCTGTGCATTAATTTGGTCAAACTGATTCATATGAATAAACAGTCAAGTTTATTCAGATATTGAAAATATGACTATCCTTTTTAGTATTCACAAACATTTGTGTATATAGTGTGTGTATGTGTGTAAATATATATATGCATATATAAAGTGAAGATATGTTAATGTAAAAATATACTGTTCATCCACTCCCAGTTACACAAAATTCAATATTTGGACATTAAACTGTGTAAGTATAAATGTCCATCTCAAATCTACATTCAACCAGCAACAAATACTTAGAAGTATTTTTGTAAACATTTGAGATCGGGAAACCCATTCATGTACAAAACAATCCTTCTTTAACACATCAGCTTCTCTTCAGCTTGAAAATTTTATACAGCAGCTTCAGCTGGCCTACTGTGAATCTGCTCATATCAAAGAGCTCACACTGTTTTAGACCAATACATGTGAAAGCTCAGCAAATGCATAATTTTCAAATTCATTCTTAATCACCATCCATTTCCAGTTCACCAGCAAAAAGAAAATGCACTTGGCTACAAAAATATTAAGGAATGTTATTGAAAACAAAAGGCTATTTTGGTAGAAGAAACTACAAAAATAGTTAAGTTGAGTCATGTTGTAAAGCTTTAATGCAAGAGCATTACAGTACAGATTTTCTTTCCAACCTTAAAGCTTAATCAACACCAAATTTAAATATCCATCTCTCAAGTGCTTGAAAAAAACGTGCTCAGTAAAAGTCTTTCTTCAATTTAACCAACTGAAATTACGCAGGTGCCAAGCTCTGTGTTTCAGACATCTGTTGAGTGCTGTCTCTTGTTCCATTGGCAGCAATTACAGGTGTTGAGATACTCTGGTATAATGACGTAGGGCAAGTCAACACAGCTCCACTTTCATCCTCTCCAGTATCTGAATCTGGTGTTACAGAACTGCTTTCTATCCCCAGGATCTCACTAACTGCTTGAGGCAATTCCTAGAAAGGAGAGAAAAAAGACAAATATTAAAAAAATCACTGTAATTAAATGAAAAAAGTTAACAATAAGGTCATGTGTGTCCCTGCTCCGCTCCACCAAGTAATTTTTCATTTCAATTTAGCCATACTGAAAGCATCTCTCTCAGCATTAGTTCCATTAAAGTTACCATTTTCCGTATCTGTTTTTTCAAAAGACAGCAAAGAGGACAGGCTCAAGAATCAATTCCTGATTAACAATATAATCTTCATTACAAAATAAATAAACAGCTACTGTAATTATACTTCATGTTACTGAAATTAGTTTTATTGAGTGAACCACTAGTTTCTGCCTACTAAGTCCAGTTTGCTTTCAGTGCAATGCACCTTTCACCTCATCTTTCTCATGCACGCTGAACCCCAAATTACTTGTACTGAGATTATCTAGTAACATTTAAGAAACAGTGACAAAAAGGCACAATCCAGCTTTCCCCCCGTAAACAATATTACTCTATAAAATTAATCACTCTTGCTTTTAGGATTTTGAATACAGGTGCTGTCTACATACAGCACATTCTTTATCGTAGCCAGACATTTAGTTAACTATTCCACAGATCATACACGTACAGTTACAGCCAACTACATACTTTTACTGTCTATAAGTGCTCAAAGCAGATATATTCAAAATATCCTTACCTTGCAATTCATCATCTGCATAGAAATTGCTTCTGCTTTGCAAAGTATATATTCCACATCAATTTTCATAGACAGTTCATTGATATGCTAAAAATAGATTCACAAAGAATAAGTGTGATAAATGGTAAATAAGCTTTATTGTAAAATACAGTAATACTGTACTGCACTGCTAATAATTACCACCTTACAAGCTTGCCCCTTAAGCTAAGAAGCGCTATACGTATTCTGTTTGCTTTGACAAATGGGCACTGAAAGATGTAGTTATGCAACTGCTGGCTTTCACCAGTACCCAAGAGCTGCAAGAGGTAGCCTCTAAACGTGACAATCTAGCCTTCCTAGGTACTCCCAGCTCACATTTTAAAAGAGGTAACAAATAAGATTACAGAAGAAAAAGCAAAATGTAAGATTAAACATATTAAGCAGAAAAGGGGAGAACAGTTTTCCATTTGTTAATGATCTTATCACTAAACACAGACATCAAATAAACCATTCCGAAAGCACAAAGGGCAGACATTCAGTTCACATGTAACCCTTCACAAGACAGTGCATACCTTCTCCCCCTCCCCAACATATAAACATATTGCATTAACTCAGAGAAGTTAATGTTTAAATAATGGATGGGAATTTAATACCTTTAATATTTCATTAAAGCCATAGTGCTTGTCCATTATTTGCTGTTTTTCAGATTCTAAGATAGCACAGCAAAGGAGAAGATGAAAGTTCTGACAAGGCAATTCTGTCCACATGACCTGTTAAAATAGGAAAACCACTTTTGAAATGCTTATGCTTTTCCTCTGAAAAGAAGGGCCGCTCTTGGAAAATTAGTAAGCCCTCAAGACAAGTGGCTTAACTAACAATAAACTATTTTTGAAGGCAACTAAGTATTTGTACAGTTATTTGCAATTTTTCTTTTAGCCAACTAGTGACAACCCCAAGTATGAGTCACCAAATGCCTATCTGGTTCTTTAAAACTTCTGTGTCTACCAGGTTGCCCACTATAACGCTATTAAACTGCCTGAGCTTGCCTGAGTTTTGTGAATGCGTGTGTTCTGCCTCAGCTCATGTGACATTCTCCTACTCAAAATTACTAATTACATATTAAAAATAACAAATTACTTGTGTGTTTTAGTGTGTCTGCATTAAATGCGAATTGGTAGAAGTGTGTTATGCTCAGCAATCACTCCAAAAGGTTCCAATAGTTATAAATAAGGTGCTAAAGTTGTTCCCAATCCCCTCCCGCAAGAGCCCAAAGACATGTACATGCAGGCGTTAGGGGTGGGTGGGTGTTACTTTCTGACTGCAGACACACTGCCTTTTGGTCCCAAGGAGGTCACAGATAGTCATTCTCAAGTTCACTGGGACTGAAATGTGCAATCTCAGTATTAATACCCTATTTTAGCATGTTCATGAGAGTGAAATCTTAAAAAAAAAAAAAGGTATTTGAAGAGAATGATTCTGGTGAGCAGAAAGGTGGAGAAAAGTTTTGACAACAAAGAAAAAAAAAATTGTCTGCATAAATTACTCTGACAGATAAAGCAATTTAAGTCAATGGATTTACTCTCAAAAAAGGCAGGTAAGAAACTCATGAAGATTGTGAGTCTGTCTCTATTATTGATATTTTCTTGCTTCATTATTGATAGAACAAACCCTTAAAGCTCAAGAGCTTACTTATACTTGAACTTTTATCACTAATACATCTAGCCTGCAAACAGAATAGCATAAATCTGAAAGACAGACAAACCAAGTTCACCTAAAATAAGGTCCAATTTGTCTTGAAAGTTTCTATTAAGATTTAATTCACTCAGTCCAGAATTAAATTTTTAATCTTTTTCAGGTATCCAATATTCTGTTAAAGCACTCTGACCCCAAGAAAAGAGCTGGAATGTAAATAGGCCGAAAAACAGTAACAAAATGCCTACAGTCTACCAAATACAGTCTGTCTACACACTACTGTGTTGGGTTTTTTAACTCCTACATCATAAGAAGGAAATATTGACAGCTGTACAAGGATTTGGTTCAACACCAAGTTTGCACATAAAGAGAGCAAACTACTGGCTAAGGATTCCCAGTACATGCAAATTCTCCTAGTATGCATATCATGAACCATCTACAACAACCACTAAGGAAGCATATCAGACAACAGACTGCCTCTTGGCATCAAATCTAAAGCAGAATATAAATGATGGCAACATGACAATGCAGGATATGGGGGAAATTGAACCAAAACTTAGATCTCTAACAGTTACCTTTTTATAGACATTAACAGCATATTTAACTTTCATATCTACATTTTAATGATATCATACTAGAGTATCTACTTTAAAAAGTATTTGCTTCAAGCTGTTACTTCAGTAGAAACTGGATCTGGCTTCAAGAATGGAAAAAACCCCAAAATACTAACAAGGATATTTACAGACATTCTCTCTTCTCTGAGGAAAATCAGCAGCTGTCACCAGCTGCTAATACCAGCTGCAAAAGAATCCATACTTTTTGCTGTCATTTTTGACAGACCTTTCAAAGTCTGGAGCAGAGCATGCACTTAAGCTTATGTATGTAAATGCATAGCAGCAGCATCACAAAGTGCTTGGAAAAGTATAAAAGAAAAACAGCATTTAAATCAAGAATATAAAAATATACCACCTAAGTGCAGTAACTCTTTTCCTCCTGTTTCTTTCTGATAAAACTATGCAAGTAAAGACTCATTTGTTCTTGCACTACCTCAGCATCCATGAATGTTTGTAGCCAATACCAGCATATATGTAGTTTATAACTAGGTCATTCTGGTTTTATACTGTGTGAGCTGTCCTAGCGTAACACTAGAAGTAATTGTAAGCTAGCTGTGTAATTTTGTTACAGGATTTTTCTTCTGGGATTCTTTTCTATCCAGTCTTCCTGCACCACCTTGAGATTTAAGGAGCAAACTGTGCAAAGGAAAGATTACGAGCTAAATGGAATTACCAGCTAATATTGTCTGTCCCTCCAGTGTGAAGGAGGGACTCAACTACTCTCAATTTTGGGACCTCTAAGGAGTGGCTCAGTATGCTGTCTACCTGGGTTGAGTTTGAGACAGTAATAGAACATAGTGCGAATAATCCCACAGACAGTTGAACCTGCATTTCATGTTTATGTAAAAAGGTGTTGCATATGGCATTGCAAATAACTGCAATCACATAATGTGTCTCAACTTAGCCACCCAAGGTAGAATGCCACCTCTCTGGCACATTCACTGCCTTGCACACCCTGCTGTACCATAAGCACCCACATTTTCTACCACAATCTGATTATCATGGCTCTTGCTCAGTAAATAGAAGAGCTTGGTTTTAGCCTCTAGTCCAGCTGATGGGGATCAGTATCTCCCATCTCTAAAGTGAATGTCTAATAACCAGTCCAGTGAAGAATCTTCTTCATTCCTTTTTTTGAGATAAAACACTGAAAGTCATGAAGCTGGTGGAAACAGGGAAAAAGTATCTGATGACACCTTAATAGTTCAGGCAACTCAGAGGACAGAAATGGAGATCCAAAAGAACACCCTGAAATTCACAGCCCCAGAAGTCCTAGAATCCCAGATGATACCTCCCCTTCTTCCCATTCCACCCTCTGCAAGTGAATAAGTCACAGGGTAACATCACCTTTGGATGGGTTTCCTCAATTCACATGCTATTACAAAACAGCATATGAATTTTGCTAAGATTGAAATTTTTGCTCAGACTGAAATACCCTAAAAGCAGTTCATTTCCCTCCACTGATTACAACAGGGATAAGTCTCCTGCACCTATAGCTTGCCTCTGTAAATCCCACATATGCACTGCTCTGGTGCCAATGAAGCTGCATGGCTACGAACAGGTAGGGGGGGAATAAATAAAAACAAAAAAACACACCAAATCCTGTTGTAAACTGACTTCAACTGCGACAAAGGCAACACTAGCTTCCATGTAAAAGCATCAATATAAAGCCTTAATTAGTTTGCTTTAAAAAGGAAAACAAGATACCCTCTTTCCCATTCTGTATCTCCTAGCAAAGAAACTGGGTATTTGTAGTAAACATACATTATGATGTGCTAGAAGGAACCCACAAGACTATCATATATCAAGAGGTTTCCATCATCTTCCTAGGAAAGAAAAAATATACTTAAAGAGTTAGAAATAAAGTGTTTCTTTTCTGTATGCAAAGGCATGCATGCATTAAAGCAGTCCCATGATAACCTGGGCTATAAACCATAAATACTGCTGTCATCAATTTAAAAAGAAAAATTAGTCTTTAAAAAAATACTGAGAAGACAACATAACACTGAGGGGAGAAAATGAGATTTCCCCCCCCTCCCCCCCAAAAGTCACTATTATTTATACCTTAGAAGAAGATAATTCTTTTGGCTTTGTACCTTTTGGTTCCCTTATTTATGAATGTTATTCATAAACTTTTTAGTCCTCTTCAGTTAAAACATCACCTCAATACTCTATGATAGTAAATTCTACCAACTGATGATACAAAGCTAAAAAAGATTTACTTTAGACAGTTTTAAGTACTGGTCCTTCTTTATGCGACTCCTTTTTCATTAGTGAAAAAAGTGAATAAAAGCATCAACATTATTTTTCATTATAGTGCAAATTTTATGCATCTCAGTCCTGTTCTTTTCATTACCCTTCTGTTCCCCAGCACAACTATGTGACGTTATGTCCTAAAAAATAGTCCTTCCATTCATCTGAACATTTATTCTCTTGTTTGGGAATTTTCAGTGGATACTGTGCTATTGTTAAATGCATCTTAGACAATAAACCTGTACTGTTGACACACATCTCAATTTTCTTGAAGCAAATACTTAAAGTGTTCAATAAAAATGTAAGTTCATCTTAATTACTTCATTTGATCCCATGATCACCTAAATCAAAAGATCTCATTAACCTGGAATTATGAGAACTTTCACATTTTGATGTTTTCTATTACGTTATTTGTCATCATGAGGCGTCACCATCAAGATTAAATGGATCTTCTGACATCATCCTCTTCACAGATTTGGCTAACACAAAAACTATCCTGCCAAAGCTTCATTTCACTTAATCTATAAATTACTACCAACATCAAGGAATTCATCGGAGATGCACACAAATGCTATTTCTTCTAGCATAAGTTCTTTTCCATTTAAAATTAACCAATACTCTCCACTTACTACTTTCACTTAAGAGCTACATCTGAAAGATTCTGTCCAAACCCTTTTGAAAAAGCAAATTTACCACCACTAGTGCTTATAAGTATTTTTTCATTAACTTCACAAGTTGTTGTTGTGGCTAGAAAGACATAACATACACTAGTATGTCTTCACCTCACTGCACAGAACCAGGTTTTTTTTAAAATCTATTAGAGTATTAATCTCTTTGCAGAATGATCCATGCTTTTTGTTCTAAAGTCCAAAGACTGCTGCAGTTTGTGTGATGAAATATCTTCTTACCTCCCAGAGTCGAAGAATATCTTGAAAGCTAAATTCCCTTTTAAATCTGATAAGAAGCCATCGGAAGCAAAAATAAAGGTAGCCTGAGTCTTGAGATTCTAGGAATAAGAGTGTTACATTTCATAAACACCGAATTTGGTTAAGATAACAAAGGGAAGAAAAAAAACAAAAACAAAAACAAAACCACCACACTTTAGAGGTACACAATCATACCACTGATTTTTAAGATTGTAGCCCCTTTTTAAAATCAAAGATATTTGATGGAGGATGGCATATTTTTAAAATCAGCAACATAACCCTGCTTTTCAGTAGGCATGGAGCAATTATTGAAATCTTTTAGGCATTATTAAGTTACAAGTCCTGTATTCATATAATTAGCATTGGAATTACGTTTAAAGACTGGTAAGGATATCAATGCACATAGAATGCAGCAGATTATTTTAGTTATTGTGCCTGAATAATACACCTACCTAAATAACTGCAAAATCCACTGTCTAGCAAACGAAGCAAAGTACTCAGTTGAATGAGTTGTGTCTTCATACCCTGCATCTGTTCTTCAAAATTCTGATGCTGGATGGAATAAAATATTAGCACTGTAATTTTTATTAACTCAATGATAATTGAGATTTACAGCTATTTTTAATTTTTAAAAATGTTCTGTTATTGCAACAGTGGTTCTCATCCTCTCAGGTATTTAACATACGGATATTTAACTGCACTTCTATCTAATGAAATGTCTGCTTTCTACTGAAAGGTTTAGCTAAAGCAGTGAACTGTGTTTCTTTGATAACAATTTTGTATGTAATAAGTGATATTTTAAATCAGCCTCTGCTCTGTACCTCCAAAAAGCACCACTGCACTCATACCAAAAAGACAACTTTTTTTTTTTCTAATTCTCATACCAGTCACATTGTTTTGTCACATGCACAATTCATAAAAGCTTCAGTGTGTGGAAAGTTTAAATTGCACTTAAATACCAAAAGGCAAGTATGACAGGGAACCATTATTTTGAACAAAATCCTGCTAGAGGACTCCTGATTAATACAAATTGGTCTATGAGGGATCTGAGTTACTTCTGAATTTCCAAGAAGCCGAATTTGTCTGTATTGCACAGTAATAGTATAACAAACCCATTATAACATGTGTCAACCAGAAAAAAACATACTGACTTCAAACATGACTGTTTTAAAAGAAATCAAAAAAGCCAATTAAATTTATAAAGTAAACCAAGTGCTATCCATAGCTTATCTGTTTATTTGGGCTAAAAAAAGCCTTATTTTACCATTTGATCCATGTATGATACAAAGCACCAAAAGGCATCTACTTCATTCTCCATAACGTACAAGAGAGGTGAAAGCAAATCACTCATCCCCTGGACATAACCTTGATGGAGAAAAAGGGGAAAATAAAAAAGACAAATAGGAATTTAGTTAACTCTGCAGTTAAACACTAATTTCTCAAGTGTGTTAAATGACAGAAACAAATGTTTGCATTCCAAGTTTGTGAAGATACTATAATTTTCCAACTCAATCACCAGTAAACATATTTCTGTATTAATAATAACCAACATCCAGCAGATCTAACAAGACTTAACAGCAGATTCTGCCAATCTAAACAGAACATAAACCAAATGCATTATTTTTATAGTAATAATATGCACAAACTGAGCTGGCACCAGAACAGATTTTTAGTAAACAAAGTTCCCATTTAGAGCTCAGAAGCATATACTGATATTTTTAAGAAGGTTAAATGCACCATCACAAATACAGACTCATATTTACTCCCCTCTCCGTCTGTAATTGGTTGCTTTCTTCCATACATTTAAAATCTTTCAATGTCTACCCACTTCTCCCCCAACTGAAGATTTTCTTTTCAAATAGATTTGAAGAAGAGATATTGAGTGTCAATTCCTGGAAAACATATGGTGCAATAGCAGCCAACAACAAAAAAAAAGCCTATTTCCTATCACTCTGTGGAAGGGGACTAACAATGAAGTATTGCTTGTGAGAAACATGAAACAAACATATATCCAGACCTGATTCAAGTAAGTGCCTTTAGGTTTCTGTGCCCAGAAATGGTGAATCAAGTTCACATGCCCCAAAGAGCACTAACATGCCTGATAGGAAAAGCCTACATTTAACTGGAGAATAAAATGGCTGTTTTTAGAGTATATAATTTTTACAAATAGCTAGAAAACTTTAGTTCTGTAAAAAGCATTTGCAAAATTGTTTATAAAACAGAAGACTTATCCACTGCATACACTTAAGCCATCTAAACAGTGTTTTTAATAGAGTGGGTGCTGAATGGGCTTTAATTTCACTTATACATCACTCACTCTGAGTTAATGTGGATTGAAGCATGGAAAGACATGTGGAACAGAGCCACATGTTTAAACAGTCTCAATCAGTTTTAGTCTTTCCCTTGTTTTACAAGCTAAAGATCAGACTTGACAGTAAGAACAAAAGCTGCAAAGTACTACAGCTCTGCAGCAAGATTACTAGTGATTAAAGATTTGTTCCTACTTTGTGCCAGATTTTGAAGGCAAAAAGTGGGCTTTTAGAATCCCAGCACTTTTCTGAGAATACAAAACTTCCAAGTATACAACAGCCAAATTTCATGCCAGGGGTGGAGGGGGGAACCGGCTAGAACTAACTTTTCCCTCCCTTCCTTCCAAGACAATTAACAAAACTGAAGACTTAGACACCTCATATACGCTGTGATTAATGCAAGACATTATATGTTCTTTCTTCTGCAACAGATGCATACACTAAAGCGTAATTTTTGACAGACTGTTAAGTGTACTCCTCAAGAACCAGCTTTTAAAGTATTCATAAGAACACCCATGTTTACAAACAGCTGTTTCAGCATGCTGAGCTTTAATTACAACAGTGTAAAGTTTATCATTTTTATTATCAGTCTTAAAAATGGAGATAAACACTCAAGTTCCAAAGACCCAAGCCTATTTAAAACTCTATAAAGCAAACTTGCTTCAATTCTTAAAAACGCCAAACAAGCCAACAAAAACACAACAGTAAGGCTATGGTAAAGACAAACGGCCACTTAATTCCCAATCCCACCTCATCTCGTTAATTCAGATGCCTGTGATAAGCATCGGATAGAAGAATAAATAGGATGAGAAACTGCACAAAGTTATCTGCATTATTAAAATATAAATCCCGACATTTACAAAAAGCATTCTAACCAATACAAGTTCAATTGTATTAACAAGTCCTAACATAAGCAAAGCCACATACCAGAAACAAAAAAGGCTTTTTACATTCAGAGGAAAACAACTTACCTAAGTCAAAGTCATACATGCAATAGGTCATCAAAATATCATGAAGTAAAATCAATCCTGGATTATCTTCGCCTTCGTAGAATTTATTTGTTCTATCTGTCCTGTTTACGTCCTTTTCTAAGAAAACAGTCCAGATTTCAAAACAAGATTTATAAAGCCACCATCAAATGAATTCAGAATGTTTTTTTAAGCTGCTGATTTTTTCCTCAAACACGGTGGCAAAGCTTTGAGGTGTTTAAGAAAACTGCATAACTGAATGTCATTTCAAAATGAAGAATATTTTAAAAGAAAAAATCCTCCCTATCTGCAACAGAAGGATTTGCTTATAAACTTATTGTAAAGGGGTTTGCCTGACTTTGTTAATACTTTTTATGGAAAAATTCCTGATTATAATTTGGTGAAAATGTTTTACACTTGCAGGGATTAAGATCAATTTTATGCAAGTTAGCTATGCAGTGCCATTTATGAATACTTACGCGATACAGCATAAACCATAGCAGGAAAGTTACCACATGATCAGCTCAAAGACACTGTGATAGTTCACAATAGCACTTTTATAAATTCTGTTTAAAAAGTTCCTATAACTCATAATGAATTGAAATTGCCTGTTTCATCAGGCAGTTTTCATGCCTCAAACATACCAAGCACATAGCATACCCTTTAATAATGTGAAATTCAAGATTTAAGTATTGAAATAAGCAGATTTTTTGAGTGCACTTTAACAAAATGAGTATTTTGTAGTTTTGGATCTATTTTAAAACATAAGCCTAATATTGTCATTTACATTTCAAGCACTTAAAAAGGAGCAGAACTGCTTCAAAGGAAACAAAACTTCAGCCTCTCCTGAACTCCAAATATTTTTCTTTTTTCCTGTTAACACACATACTCTCTATAAAGGTAGTTTATTAATCTATGAAGATTAGACTTGCTCAATCCTTTCAGATTGCCTGTTGAATAACTGGCTGAAATAAATTTAGTCCATGTCTCAGAATAACACAAAAATCTTACCCTGTCATCTGAAATTACTATTCAGTGAACCTAAACGTTGGTGTCCAAATCTCACCATCAAAGACAACTGAGGATACAAACTCTTAATAGTCAGCAGAACTTGATGAAATCTTTAAAAGTAGGTATAAAAACCCACAAGTCAGAATGTACATATACAAATCCCTGTGAGAAATTTTAAAATATGAACAGACACATTTTCACATTCTTATTGTATGTCATTATTTCAATGACATTCCCAGTAGAATCACATCATGAAATCAAAAGCCTTTTGTTATTAAATAAAGAAATTTTAAAAATCCAGCCATTCTGTAATACTAACGTGTAAAGCTCTGAATTACTCTGGTTAAGAAAGTTTTAGTTTTAAGTATGTTACAAAGTTTAGACATTTCTGAAAACAGCAACATGTTAGTTTTTAGTGCCCCTTCATACAGGTTACTCAAAAGGTTACATTTTTTAAACTTAATATTGAGTGTAAAAGGGTGTGAATTTATACAGTTAGGTATGTTTCTAAATCTAAATTTTACCTATGAGACTCCGGTAATCTCTTAATCTTGAATTTCGTTTTTCCTGTTCCTCACTGACAGACTTCCACTGCAGTTTCATCCTGAAATATTCGTCCCTGTGGAAGATAATTTTGAATCCAAAACACGATCATTTATTACATTTCTTCCTTTTTTATTTAAGCATTCACTCATTCTGTTTGTTCTTTGGCATAAATGGTATAACACCACACTGATTATATAATATTTTGACTTTAATATAACAATCGTTTTTAGGAAAGTCTCACATGCTTCTTTGTATTCCACAATCTTTAGCAACTGTCTTTCAAGTTTCCAAAAAGCTTTCTACACCACTATATGCCTTAAGAAAAAAAGGCAGCTTTTTAATTTACTTCTTCATAACCCCACTGTACTCACGTTTTCCTTTTCTGCAGATTTGCTCTCTCTTCTTTAGTGCTATTCCAAGGAAAATACCCCAAAAGAAACTTCCATGCCTCTTTTCTTAAAGTATGGCAGAGACCCTGGGCAAAAATGGATATGAAACATTAGCAAAAAGATTATTTCAATTTTGTGAGGAAACATTCCTATGTTGATACAACACTTCTTAAAGTAATAACCTATAAAAATTCTCTTTTAAGTAAACTTTTTACACAGTAGCCAAATTTTATCTGCTACCTAGGATTCACACTTGAAAGAAATAGGAAGAAGAAAATATGATTAAGCAGAAAACTGTAGAAGCACTGTATTCATCCTTAGAAAATAAAAAATAAACTTCACAAAGGATTTTTCTTCCTATATTTTTGCTTCACTGTTGGAAATGAAAACCTAATGGGCACTACAGAACCTTTAAGCAGCAAAAAGGTACCTTTAAAATATTTATATTTAAGCATCATGCTGCTTAACTGACAAACTTCTGGTGTCACCACAAGCTGATCTTGAGGTCTAGACTACCATTTATTTATTTTTTTAAACAAGTATTTTCATCTGACAAGACATGACCAACATGCAGATGAATCTTCCAAGCAATAAAAACCACTAGCGTCCACTCAAGGACACTACTTGTCAGAAATCTTTCTAACTAATGCTTATCATTTGTAGATAACAAAAATGTACTAGCTGAATCATATCCCACTCGCATCAAAAGAGCTTCTTTCAACTCCTGCAGTGTAGTCATGAGAACGAAGCAGTTTTGCTGTCAGACTCCCCAGTTTATCAGTGCAAGGCTAGCTTGATTCCTCACTTTATTTCTTCACTTACCATTAGATTAAGTCAAGGAAAATGATGCAGCTAGCGGCATCAACAACTGCAAAAACAAGAAGCAACTGGACTCTTCCAGTAACAGGCAAACAGTTTCAGAGCAGCATTTTAAATTTTTTTCTTTTTTGTCTTTAAGTAAGATCTGCACTTAATGTACTGGAAGTTACTGGGATCTCGAGTCATAAATAAAATCGAGCACTAATTCCTCTAGCAAAGGACAACAGAGATGACAGGGAAATGGGCTGCTGGAAGGAAAGGACTGTAGTAATTCTCATGACTGCAGAAGGGTCCTTAATTGGGCACTCAGGCACAGGTATATTAAAGAACAGTCATAGGCTCTGAAAAGGGCCTCAGTTTCACTCTAGCCCCTTCACAGTACATTACTTTATATATATAGGTCTTCAAAAAAACCTGTAATACCAATGTTATCGTTCTCTACTCCTGTTCAAACTCCAAAAATGCAAAACTGCATGCTTGCAAACATGCATCAACAAGTGCACAAAGAATGCATTAAGGCAGCTGGATTCCCACCAGAAAAGAGAAATACTAAAGTAACATTAGGAAGAATAGCTACAGGACATAACTAAAGCTTTCAAAATTTCCATCACTGAGACTAAATTCACATTCATTTTGTGAAAATCCTCAGTTGAATAGAAAAATATCAGAAGTGTTTAAGACTGCTCTGATGAGGGCCAAATCCATGCAAACTGCTGAGCAAAGAAGAGCTTTTGTTGGAGAAGGGTAGGAAAAAAAACGCAAAAAGAAAAGAATAAACCTGATAGCCTAACACTGAAGCACTGGTGTTTTCCTGAAAGGCACTTCGATTTTTCTTATCACTTAAGCCCTTGTGTTTTCAACTCATTCACCTCAGCCAGCCACCACATAATGTCCCTCCTTGTAGATCAAGACTGGTGAGGTATTTGATTAGCATGAAATTATGCTTTATGAAGTCTCTCCAACAACACTGACTGGCTCACACTCAAAGTCCTACATGAAGCATTACAAGTGTAATGAAAACAGCATGACCATAGTTCGGGAAGGAAAGAAAAGGGGGCCACAATGAAGTCATAGGTCTTGCTGATTTTAGAAAAACAAGTTACCCCTTTGAATATCAATTGCTTTATGTAGTCGACATCTAAAATTCTTCCTTCAGAATCCATATTCTTAGCCCATTCTTCAGCTGACACAGGCTCTCTTCTACTAACTTCAGGCTGTTTTCCTAGATCAATCTGAAACACATGCAAATATGTTATATGAATCCCACTGAAGTGATTCAATAGTTTTAAACAACTGCACAAACAGTTTTAGGCTTGCCAGTTTCTTATATTCAGTGTAACTACATTTTCACATGTGCATACCTCAGCAACTTTAAGGATCTCAAGCTGTGTCCACATTAACAAGTGGTGTGGACCAACACAAGCAGACCTTTAGAGCAAAGCACTCTGTGCTGATGATCTGGGTATACATGCTCATATTTCAGATTTTGGAGGAGGATGTGTGTGTTTTAAATAACCTTCTACCACCACAAACACCTCTGAGCTTGCTTCCCATTGACTAAACCATGGACCAGCACGTTCCTGATACACACTAGCACATGTGAAGAGAGAACTGAAAAATTACTTCGGTTCAGAGCTGCTATGCCCACATAGACTGTACAGTGTGACTGAAAGATCAATTTAAATACACCACCCCTTAGAACAAAAACAAAAAGCCAAAAATACATTAAAAAAAAAAAAAATCACACAAAATACTGTATGTGCTTTTCAGAACTCCTAACACCCATCAAAGTTCCTGTCTGTGGTTAGTCTCTCTCAGTTCCCAAAGTGCACGTTCAAGCACAGCAGAATTTAGCAGACAGTAATCCCTTACTTTCTAAAAATATTCTGATTATGGAAACGACCAAGTTAATTTGTGTTTCAACTCTTTAGAAGTCTAAGACATTTGCCAGATTAAGACACATAGGTCAGTGTTATTTTCAGTATGTAGTATTCATTATACTTTTTCTCACCGATAAATTAACTGATTAAGTGTGAGACAGCAAGTTCTTAGAATTACATAGTTCATACAGCTACTGCTAAGATATTAATGCTATTTTGAACTCAAGGGAAAAAAAAATAACATTCAAAACAGTTTAATGTTCTAAAAACAAGTAAGCTGATTAGATAGTAATCACAAGCATCTGAAAACAAACTTTTTCCATGTACCTGTAAGAGACACCAACAGAGGCCCAAAGCAATTTATGATGCAATTACTAGTTCATTCTAGCTTTGATTTAAGTCATACATAAATCCATACATTTGTACACCCTAGACATTAATCATCCAATTAAATACTTCGTTTTTATCTTCTTAGCTCTTGTAAAACAAACTGAAATGTTAAAGTGATTAGCCAAGAAATTTGGTTATTAACCTGTATACCCCAGTTTTACTTAACATAGCTATCTGACCACAAAGGAAACACTAACCATGAAACAAGTCACACTTTTCAGGATAGTGACTCTAAGATAATGATAATCCCCATTTCAGTACTGACAAATTCTATTTCAAAACAAAACTCGTATTTGCAGGCATAAAAATTATATTTTCTAGAAGTAGCTGATGATGATATTACTGTTATGAATAAATAGTAGAGCAGCATACACCACAATCACCAAGCATAAACAGTGTAACTCACCAAGCTTCAAGTCCTACCATTCCTTTAAATGTGTGCATAAAAAGAATCAACGCATCTGTATCATATTCATTTACACACTCACTCGTGTAATGACTTCAAAGCCTGGTTCTTCCTGTTGATTTATCTTCAGCCCTGGAATAGCATCATTGAGAAAGTCTGCCATTTCCGATGGTGGTCGCCTTTGACTTGAAGGGTCACTTAAACGGAAACTGTCAAAAATATAGTTTGTGACTTTGGAAAATCTTCCCATTGTTACTGTGTAGGGATCTTTCTTCAATTTCTGTGTTACAACAAGAAAAAGAAGTAAAATACAAAAAGCTATAGATTATTTGGAATTCTTGTAATCAAAGAAAGCAAAACAATGGGAAGAGTAGCATGGGTCTCAAAGTCATTGAAGTTTTACATACTGGTAGTTTCATACAGTACATTCATTACACGATTTAAAAGGGTATATTAAGTATTAAGATAATACTATTGATTAATTTGAAACATTGGATAGCAGTGTGCTCAGTAAGCCTGACCTACGTATAAAAGTGGATCTGATCCACTGTTTACTTTCCAGTGATTAATGCCACAAAACATCTTCCTTATGCCTTGCTTCTCTACCTTAACAGAGAAAACACATCTTGAATCATAATGTACTCTTCTAGGAGTGTCACAAAACTTGATTTGACAACTAAGTCCAGAAACTGATGCAATTCACTCAAAGATTTTCTTACATTAAAGAAATCAGTAGGTCAGAACTCTGGCCTCATTCAGGTCACTGGAAATTCTGCTGCTGACTTTCACAAGCCCACAGACCCCACCAAATGATAAGCAGTTTTAGCATTAAAAAACCCAACTCTTTTAAGCAATAATGTGCTCTTTACTGATGTATTTCCAACATCACTTCAAAACTGCGAGAAAAGATCAAGGAAAATAATATTTAGTCAAGGAAAATTTAGAAAATTCTAATTAATATGTTTTGCTAACTCCTAAAATTTTTCCTTCTTCCCCTTTCTAAAACTATCTCTACTCAAATGTATAGAATCACAGATAATATTAACTTGAATAGGTTTGAAATAGTACCACAGGGAAGTTAAGGAATTATTAGAACACAGAAAACAACTTATAAATAAGTGTACTTTCTGCAGTAAGCATTTGCTTTAGGATACAATCATTGCTTCTACAATGGCAATGATTCAGGGAATATTTGTGTGACATGGTAGGATAAGTTTTTTTAACAAATAATAGAATAAAAAAAATAGAATAAAAAAGTCAAAGATAATACATACTTGTAATAAGCCATATGATGGTTCATCAAAAAGATTTTCAAAAGACTGGGACAGAGACTTGTTCTGAGAATTCACAAGAAGAACCCGTTTATCCTGTGGAGATCTGCAATAAAATTAAAACAGGGTTTCTAGAAGCACCACCAGTTTTCCCTGAATATGTTTTTAAAACATTTACTAAAGTCACATTCTAGGTTCTGTGCAAGGAAGGCAGGTTTGATGTAAGATCACTCTTAGTTCTTGTCATAAGTTCACAAGCTAACACTTTAAAAAACAGGACTTCCATTTTTCAAAATACTAGTCATCATCACACTCATTTTGAATAGTACTTTTTCATTCTTTGAAAAATATGATGCTTTTGAGAAAGTTTTGACAAAGTACTCTGGAAGATAACTTTTATCACGCACATGTAAATACAGTTTTCTTCAATTACCGTTTTCTACGTTTGAAAATAGACAAAAAAAAAAAAGAGGTGACACAGCAAAGAATTCAATGAGACATAGTCAACCTCAACATAATGTATGCTGATACTCCTTTAACGTAACAGAGGAAGCGAAAAGAGCCCATGTCTCCACATACAGTAAGGAATTCTTTCTACTAATTAGTAAATCTTCCATTAAGACACCCTGTAAAATATTACATAAAGGAATACAAACTACTTTTCTATGTATGAAAGCACATCACAAAATTTAACCAGTATTACAACAGCTACTGCCAGAATAATTCTAAGATTCATACTGACAGGAGCTTAAAAAACACCACAGCCATTGTACTGTGAAACAGAACCACCTCAGTAAAGCCCTGCAAATGCATTTCTGTGTAGACTCCAAAAGCTAAATGAATGCAAACCCGATTTGGCCTAACTCGCTGTATTTGTACACTCTTGTTCTTCAATACAACATTTGCTTGTCTGACAGGCTTGCACAGGCAGATGAAAACAATAACGAAGAGAGTGGAACTGTGCTGCTCCTAGTATTTGATCTGCTCTTTTACTGTCACTCCATCACCCCCCACCCCTCAACATCCCATCTTCTCCCCTCCTCCAGCACAGATACCCCATCAATTCATGAAACCAGCTCCTGAATCACCAATTTACAGCTCAATATGAAACAGAAGAGAGAACAGCTCAGAAGGGGGGCTGACATTCAAGCCTCAGAGTTGGTAGCTTGGCAGAGGAGAGCCAAGCATTTTGCCATCTGACTCTAATCCATCACACACATTTATAAAATACCTCTCTATTGCTCTCTCCTAAAGTTTAAATCCACTATCTCTAGTCTTTGAAAGAAAAATTACTTTTATTTTTATTAGTACCTTCATCATCTACCATGTTATTAAAGTCAAAGATAAGAACTTTAATAAGCCTTATCTCTCTCCCATTCCAACAGGACAGAACTCCTAACACTGACGGATATGAAATGCAACAAGAGATCTCATTTTGAGACAGCCAGATACCACAGTCATAGTTCTGAGGCAGCAACGGTTAACGAAGCTCAACTGGCTTTTGCTAAAAACCAGCACAGGGGCAAAGGTTGAGTCATGTATTACGTTTTCCTTAACTGAATGAACAAAAACTTTGTACCATATCTCCATTTTAATTAAACATGCTCTCAGGACAGACAGTTGGGTATCAACAGCTACTTAAGTAATGTTTAAAACAAATTTGTGAGCTAAACACTTTATTAAACACTTAACTCATAATCCTGCAAATTAGAAAGCGTCATCTATACACATGGTGTTTTCTCAATATTAGTCTGGTGACACCAAACTAGGAAGCACATAAACTTTAAAGCAACAAATTACAAATCCCTTGTTTGAGTTTAGCCACTTCACATACACTGATTTCAACAATGAAGTGACATTTTACAAGGAATGGTGTTAGAGAAGGGCAAAAAACACTTGAGGCAATAGGAACAGAGGAAAAAAACACCTACGACAGATATTTTAGAGAAAAGTTAAACTTTCTGGGTTAACATCAATATCCCATGCATTATAAACTAGTATGGGATAACAAGTAATTATGCTGCCCAGTACTTCCTTGTGGCATGCAGAAAGCTGAGTAAACACATCGAGGTTGTGAACTTAGATACATCATGTACTAAAGCATAAATAACCATTAAGAAACAACAGAAACATACAGAGACTGAAATCTTCCACAACTTGTGGCATATCTGTTCTTTTATCTTTCCTTAAAAAAAAAAAATCATCATAATTCATGACTATACCACAGAAAATAATTTGGTGCCAGAAGCAGACCTTAACTGGAAGAGATGAATTTAAGTAAGAAAACTGAAACTGGAAGCTCCTGCTCAGGTCGATGCTTAACTCATTCAAATTTCATTTCCATAGCTGCTTCAGTTTGTTGTTTTAAATTTCCCCAAGTACCTGCTGTTGCATTCATCAACGCTTAGAACTGTTTGAGGTGGCAATACTATGTAGCTCAGCACATCCTGAATGCTTGAGCATCACCCCACGTTTCCCTGTCTTACCTTAGCAGGGAACTCCATCTGTTAGCATTCCTGGATGCCCCAGTGCACAGCTGCTGGGTCAGACTGCACGAACTCTACACCACTGCCTTCTTTTAAAAACAGGCACATGAGGACATGACTGCCTCTCTTCGTAGAGAGTTTCTTCCCCCACCTGACAGCTACTGTTTTGCACTGTCCCAAGAGGAATGTCCACATCACCTGGCAAGAGGCTACAAATAACAAGAACTAAGAATCCACTGGGTCAAATAAGAGTGTTAAGTGTCCACTCACTCACTGCATGACTATCTGAAAGAGACAATGTTTGAAACAGGAACTAAAATCACTACCTATTTCTTTTCCATGTATTGACTGGCCAATAAGCATTAATTTTACATAGCCATGTGAAGTAGAACTATTTGCAGCACATGACTCAATAGAACTGGAAATAATGCCTGTTAGTAACACAAACTGTCTAGCATTATGTGCAGTAACAAACAGACAACCAAATGCTGGACAGAGCTTAGATGTCTGACTTACAGGAGCTTAGGTGTCCAACTTCATAAAATGGTCTAAGGTGTTCCAGCATGTTAGTTTAGATTCCTGTTTTTTTAAAAAACTTTCAACCATGAATTCAAAAGGCACAAAAAACTTCCTGAATATGAAAAGATAAAATATATAGCAAAGCAGTATCTTCTTGTAAATATTTCATGCCTTTGAGCAAAAAATATGAAAAATAAAATAAGCTTAGTCCAGGTGCCTCACCATTTAACACATGGAACTCCACCAAAATTAACCCAAGTATAACTATAGATCTGTAGTTGCAGTATTGCATTGTAGTTATCAACTTTATGTTGCTTATTGCACAGACTTTTTTTTTTTTTTAAATAATAAATTCTTTAAATAGTGGCAATTAAAAAAAAAACAGCAGCATGAACTCACTAATTTTAAATTGCTTTTGTTAAAGCCTCAAGCAGACTAACTGGAAAGAAGGCAAAAGGGAAAATATTAATCTAAAAATCTTAGTTTCTGGTTGACAATTCATCACAAGAAAATTTTAATTGAGTCAATGCAAACGAGTTTGCTACTCTGTCAAATGTCCTCACTAGGCCTACTTAAAGGTCCTGTTCATTAAATACGTATTATGGGAATTGGTTAGAAAATTTAAAATACATTGCTGCAGTACACAGGCAACAGATGACATAGATGGGCTGTAAAGCTGTCAGCAACTCACCATACAACACAGGTCTATTTCCAGTGTTTGCTACATAGATTGCCTCAAAAACCTCCCCTAACCTACCAGCAACTAGTCAGAAGATGCCCACAAATAAGAAAACACAGAACAGTATGCTCAAAAAGGAAAAATTTCCTTGGTGGGGGGGGAAGGGAAGTGAGGGGATGACAGGACAACAGTACCCTGCACCTGCAGAAGTAGTGAAGAAATTAAATGAAAGGAGGTTTGAGGAAGAACTCAAAGGGCACCTAGAGAAAAAAACTCAGAATTTAAGATGAAGCTGTGATCCAGGATTTCCTAATCCACAGATGTAGAGAGAATATTCTTACCTACCTTCATCTTGTGCCCGTAATAGACTCTCCTTTGGTTATCTTGAATTTTCCCCTTAAAAAGCTCTCATACAATGCTATAGCCAATACCATTTCACCAAATGATCACACTGACCATGCTACCTTCTCCAGGCAGGTGACAACTTCTGATTACCACCGACTCCAGCACCACATCTTGACACTGTCAAAGCCTTTCACAAATCAGCTCAATGAATGTACAACCCTTATGACCTATTGGCTTGCTCTCCAGCCTGATAGTATTACTCAGCAACAGCCGTCCATACTTGTCAAAGGCAACTCTGACCTCATTGATGCTACCAATGTGAGAAGAGCCCTCTACACGGACTCCCACCTCCATTTCACTATCTACCTTCAAATCTGCCATCACAATATTATATTGTAAGTAATGATAACAAAACGTTTTTGAAAACAGAATACCTGTTACACCTCATAGCTTCTTCATGCTCTACTTACTCCTACTTATGCTGTTGCCTTCTTAAATTATACTTATGCCTACATGGTATGAGCACAACATTTTATTTTATTCTGCATTTATGCTGTGCTGATCAAAAAGGCTTTTATCCAAGTGGAAAAGTTGGAGATAACACAATATAAATACAAAACAAACCCCATGTATTTAATGGCATGATAGGGTCTGTCTATGTTTACATTCAGAAAGTTGATTTGAAGATGAAGTGTGAAACATTCCCCACAGCAAGAAATCACAGGGGAAAAGAATTATGGGGGAAAACATTTATATACAAATTGATTTAGTTGACAGTACTGTAAGTTACCTCACACACTGATGTCAGTACTCATAGATATTTCACACAAAGTAGAAAATCTCAAATTTTAACACAAACTATCCCATTTAATAGAAGTGGTTCATGAAGAAGGATTTGATTCTACACTCAGGGTTCACAAGAAGCTTCTGTAACCACGAGAGGGAGCCACTGAGGCATTACAGAGATAATAACACTTCAATCAATTCTAAACTGTTTCATAAATTGATCCAAACAATTTTAAAACTTCAGCCTACATCCAAATACATATGTGAAATTACAGTTTCATTCACCTTGAAAATTGATTCTACCAATAAAAAAAAGGAAATAGAAAATATATCAGGAAGCATTAATCTGAAATGCATTACAGAATTTAAAAAGTAAATCAATAATTCGTATTCTAAATAAGAACTAAGAATTGTCTGATACTTACTCATTCAGCACAACATGCTTTTCAAGGCATTTTATCAATAGTTTGCTATCTCCATGATGAAAGTGAAGAGCTGGAAGCTTCACATCATCCTTCAGACAGAACACCACATAAGACCATCCCATGCCTTCTTTGTTTTGTTTGATTGATTTCAGATCTGTCAAACTGAACAGGAACGACCACTTGCTTTCTCCATTTGCATGAGTTGTAGCATCTTAAAAACAAAATTACCACAGTTTCAGTTTGACTTTCAGTGTTAGCAATTACAAATGCATCGTATCTGTCACTGTTCCTAAAAAAAAAAAAAAAACCACACAAACCCCAAAAGACAAACCCCAGCACTGGTTCTGAAAATGTGTACTGTAACTACTGTAACTGTTAATCTCAATTTCTCTTTGTGCCTCCTCATCTTCCACAGATTTCTAAAATGAGCAAGTCCATCAGACTGGTCCTCTAAATCTCTGCCTACAGTTTATAAAAGTGATCAAGCTATATTTGGATTGCTTTTACACGTGATCCAGATACATTTTAAATGTATAGCTGCTGTATCAAATTCCAGCAGCAAGCTGAATCCCACCAGCACCACCACCGTGTAGTACTACTTCATCAAACTAAACATGACATACACTACAATACCTTATACTTTATATTGCACACAGTATTAGCCACATGTTATAAGACTGCTACCAAGGTAAGGGAGAAGAAATAGAAAGTCTCCCCATCCACCCCTCTCCCATACTGTGCAAGCATGTATACACTCTACCCAAGACTCTATGCATTCAAAGAGAAGGGACTATATTTTACTTTACCAGAGGACACAAAATTGCCAGCATGCCTGGCATGCCCCCTGGCCAGCCTCCATCAAATTACAGCAACTGGAAACAAAAAGTGGCAAAGAGCGCAATCCAGGTCAGTAGTGCTCACTGACACTCCCTTTGGATAAAGATATACTCTGACGCCTGAAGATGAAAAATCAATACAAACCAGCGACATAATAAACCACCCTACGCCTAACAGAGATGCTGGTTTTTGCTTTCTATCATGCTAGCACTACAAGCTCCTCTCAAACACAGTATTCTAGGAGCAAGGACTGTGCTTTACCTTAAAACGTTTATAATCTTAAATCCAAACCCTGTACTCATACATAACATTTAAAACCATCAGAGATATAGTGAAACAAGCACAATGGTCCCCAGTCATAGGCTGAGAAATAACACAGGGAAAACTAGTATTATAAAGAAAAATACTACTGGAAAATCAGAGGGGAAAAAAAAAAAATATTACTTGAGAATCATTGTCCTTTCTCCCCCACTTTTTTCTTTTTGCAACATCTCTACTGAGACACTATTACAAAAATGATGTAGCTGTAAAATTATTTTGTCAAAGACCATATAAAAAAGACCCATCTACCACATAACTGTACATTCCATCTCCCCCTGCTGTCGCAGTATGAAAAGGCATTTTAGTAACCCACTTATTTTTTCATTTTCCTTTCTAACACAACATTTGTTTGAAAGAATGCAAGAGCGCAATGCAGATAAAACCATGACATGATCTAATCATCATCACAGCAAGAAGTTCGATTTACCATTTATTTTCAATACAATTCTCTAGTCATTTAGAGAAAAAAATTGCTTCAAGGCAGACGGCAGCTATTCCATTCTGAATTTTTTCAGAGATTCACCTCTTACCACGAATGACTCCCAGCTTTTCGATTCCTAATAAAATCCATTTTATTGTCTATAAGAGGCAATTCTTCAGTTGCAAGTTACCATAAAGTAAAAACAAAACAAAGCATGCGGGATTTTAAGTACCTCCATTTGAATGAGGCTTCTTTTTAAAAGAGACTGTGGTGACCATGTCCCATTCTGCTTCGTAACTACTTGGACGGTCTGCTCCCCGGGAACATTTTTCTTTAGGAGTTTGAGTCCACTCCACAACAGAACTGGAATCCTGAGGAAGAAAAAAGAGTGACTATCAAAAGACACAAGACATGAAAATTGAGCTAGTTTCTCAGATTCAACAAGAAGAATAAGCACCTTCACTTTCACAGATTAAAAGAACCTGTAGTATTAAAATCCTAAGAAACATGATACAGTTCAACACAGGAAATTTGGACTTATGACTAATACTAAGAGGTTTTACTTTATAAATTTAACATGATACTAAAATATCCTAGCCTCTCTAGCAGACTCTACCAACATAACAAACTTTTTATTTAAATGGAAAACTTAAATCTTTCTTCTTTAGTCACATCCTCTTAATACTGCTTAAATAGCACATATCACTGCATCTTGGAACCCCCACAGAATTCTATTTTTATTTTGCCTTAGAACAGTATCTCTCTGTTTTGAGTTCAATTATGAAGAGTGAATCACCAGACTACAACACAGTAGATGCAGGGGGACTGGTGACCATGATACACTTATACTCATTCGGTCTTTACTGTTCATACAGATAGTTCCCTTCTAATTCATATATGAACCAAGTAAAAACTAAATACAGTCACCTACATGTGTATCCCAATAACCTGAAATGGGCTGCAGTCCACAAGTACGATTCCTACATATAGCTACCAATCATGATCACATAAATAGATTTTTGCATCCAGTTATGAGATCACCTATGCATAAGTTAACACAACATAAAATCTCTGGAGAAACAGAATGAAGAACACTGATACCTAACAAACATACCTTTCCAGCACAAAGGATATTAGAAGTATCCAAAGTATCATCCAGCGGTCTCCAGTCTACTATTACTTCATTCTCCTACAATACAATCAATCATTAAAAAATTCAGTACTACACAACAAAGTACATATCTCACTATTTGCTCATGGTATGATTAGGGTACAACTTTTATATAAATATAAATGATACAGACAACGTCAAACATCATGTGATGTTTGCTCATTTACAAAATCCTATACTTAAAAAGACATTTAAGATTGCCAAGCACATAACGTGCTTCAACAAATACATGAAGTTTCCATAACTGTATTATGCAAATACCTTTTCTATGACACGTAGTACTCCTGATATTAAGCTGTCCTGGTCATCATTTTTGCCGCAGGATGAATGAATGAAAACTCCTTCTTGTTCATATACAATCTATAACAAAACGAGTAATGAAATTAAAAAAAGCTTAAAATTGTTTCTCTCTCCTGTGGTACTCCTTAACATTTTGACTCTTCAATTTATGTAGGTGTGAACACCTCCACCCTGTTAAGGGCTTTCCTTCCTCCTCACCCCCAAGATCTCAGTCTTTCACTTATTTAAATCAAGAAACAATAGAAAGTGGAACTTGATAAACTCACTCTCTAAGCAACATACTGACTTATCACTTCACCAGTAAATCACAAAAAAAATGTATTCAATGCCTAGTATTTTTTAAATCAGCAGGCAAGGGTTCATATGGAAACACTACACAGCTTTTAAAACATTAAAAGTCCTTCTTACGTAATATGTCTTTCCCCCACCTGCCATTTAAGTGTGTTGAAATCATAACCTTAATTTAAATTAAAAATGGACAGTCTAGTGTACAAAAGATGAATTCCATAGAAATAAACAATTGCAGCCTTAATTAGTGACCCAATCCTACATTCAGGGCAAATCACAAAGGTTTTACTTCAAAGGTAGATTGTGACAGTCAGATGAAGGAGGCTCGTAGGCGTACACACTACCCACATAACTTCTGCATTTAAGCATTTATAAAACGCTTCACAGTATTCTGATCATGCTCTTAAAAAAAAAAAAAAAAAAAAAAAAAAACAACAACAACAAAAAAAAAAAAAAAAACAAAAAACAAACAACAAAAACAACAGACAACTCTTGTCTGTCAGAATTCAGCAGGGTCTTCAAAGCTACATGCTATACATACTCTTAAAAGCTCTATAAACAATGCAGGCAGGTTTGTTTTAAACAACTCTCTAAAACAAGAGTAAAAAGTCCCTAACATACCAAACTTAGATTTTGTGGAAGTAAAATACATCAAACAGTAACAGTAATTTTTTTATAACCATGTTATTTTTTCAAACCAAGCTGCAAACACTGTCTTAAGAAATAGATATTTTTTAAAGGCAAAACCTAGTAATTCTTAACTAATCAGAGACAGATACTACATTTCTTTGGTATTAAAATAGACCTCTCTCTTTTTCTCAACTTACTCGTTTGTCAGGTTTTTAAAATCATCACATTTGCAGCCAGGTCAGCAAACTAGAAGGTTAGGTATGTAAGCTTAGCTAGCCAAACAAGAATACAAAGCTTAAAAATAGCAGTAAGATTCAGTTAACTCATCCTTTCTGCCGTATATTTACTCTTAAATTTCTCTTGACTTTACACAAGCAAGAAATTTATGAAGTGCCCCATTTAATCACAGAAATATCATTTGGAAGAAATGATAACTAATCTAGAGATCAGTTAGTATAATCTCCCTCGTGAACAATCATTAACATCAGCAATTACTAACAACAACAAATATTAACCTTTCAAATATTGGAAGCCTTCTTTCCCCTTCTCTATTACATCTTTTTTCTATCAAAGAAGATTCTCCTTCTATTTCAACCAAACCTGTTTTTGAATTCAGTGCCTGTTTAAACAATGCAACTCTGGAATTTACTAAAATTTTACCTTCTAGCTATTTGGACCTGATCTATCACCACAACTAGTCAGAAGTATTAAATCGAAATGATCAATCTTTGGGACACCTGTTCCAGAAAAAACTATTTGTATCAGAGTTTTACTGGTAAAAGTACACTTCTGCCGATAATGTTAGTATCACAAAGTATAGGTTCTCAGTCTAGAAGGTATGCAATCTGATCATTGTTTTTATTTTTTTCCAGCCATTAATCTCTCAGAAGGTCAAACATGTCCTTTCACAGTGTTAGCGTTTCGGCTGAGATAATGTTTTTTCCCTTCTTAGTAGCTAGAATAGTGCTGTGGTTTGGATTCAGTATGGTATTTGATATGAGAAGAATGTTGATAATGTACTGATGTTTTCAGTTGTTGCTATGAAATTAAGGACTTTTCAACTCCCCATGTCTTGCTAGTGCACAGGTACACAAGAAGCTGGGAGGGATCACAGCCAAAGCAACAGACCCAAACTGGACAATGGAATATTCCATACCATATAACATTACGCTCAGTATATAGATAAGAGTTGATTGGGAAGCTCACTCTGGCTTCTAGGATTGTGGTTTCAGGATTCTCTCTTCTCTGGGATCACTGGCCAGGAATGAGCTGGGCATTGGTCAGCAAGTGGTGAGCAATCACACTGTGCATTACTTGTTTGTATTTTCTATTATCATTTTTATTTTATTTCAATTATTAAATCAATTTTATCTCAACCTTACCCCTACCCCTCCCATTCTCTCCCCCATCCCTCAGGGGGGAAGGGTGAGTGTGCAGCTGTGTAGTGTTTGGCTGCTGGCTGGTTTTAAACCATGACACACAGAGAAAGAAAACGTGTTCCCAATGGCACTGCTCTCATGGAACTGGAAAAATTCTACATTGCTCTTCCTAACAGATCCAGCTCCCTGCCCTGTGCTCCACCAAAATAGGCGATAAAACCACAGAAGCATGAATTTGCTCACAAGTTTGGAGGGTATGTGTAAAGTAGCAGACTTATCACGTGGTTTATTTCCCACCTACTGTTACTAAAGAGAAAAACTTCTCCAAGTTTGAGAGGCCAGAAGGTCAAGCTGCTGGGATTTGTTCTTATTCAATAACAGGTGTGATCCTGCATATTTTTCACCTACTGTTATACAGTATTTCTGTATATAACTGAGCATAAGTATATAACTGAGTTTAAAAAGTGCATTTTTCTTGCATCATTGAAGAAAAACATTGAGTCACATGTAGATGAAAGTCTAGATGATGCAATAATGTAACTAATTTGAAGAAAGCTACGTCATTAATCTTACAAAAGATTATCTAGGAAGTGGTTTAACAGCTTTAACACTGCAAAACATTTTGGAAGTTACCATCTTTGAATTACCTGAAACATTGCGCTGCTCTGTTCAGCAGTACTTTGTAAGGTAACGCAATAACTTAATTTGATTAAACTGATTTTGAGAATATTATTTTATAGTGGTAGCACCTGATGATTAGCTACACTGGGCAACTGTATTTCACACAACCTTCCTACTAAACTGAAAACTCAAAATACTACTAAGTATTCTTACAGTACCTTACAATAAAATGTATCTTGTGATAGATTTTTCTTTTCTGGTATTACAGCACTGGCAAGCTATTAGTCAATTCAAAGAGGGAAAGTAACATTAAATTACACATACAAGTAATAAGCACTATGGAAAGTATCAAATTGAAAAACAGTATGCCCATAGCTACATTTGAATAAAAAAAAACATCCATCAGTAGACAACTGCTATAACACTGTGTATCTCAACTCCACACCATGCAGCCCACAAAGGTATTTGCTCAGTGCCTCCACAGTCCAACAATCTGGCAAATACCTGCTCAATCAGCACACACAGACCTCTTAAGCAGCCAGGAAAACAGACATTTCAAAACCAGGCAACAGCAGCATACGCTGCTGCTTGCCTAAACAGTAGGTTACCGCAGAACATGTAAAATGAGTACCTTGAAATAAGATGTGGGAGAACAGACAGCAAATGTTGGAGGATGATCAGAAGCATCATTAAAATACTAAGGGACTTGTGTAAGGTGCGAAGGCAAAATCTATGTAGTGAGATCCTGGTACATATGGAGACAGTAGAAGGAACCAGATACTAGCAGGGCAGGATAATGAGACCACTGCCCCTTAATTAGCAGTTAAAGTACCTATGACCTCCCAAACCCAACCAAAACCTGCATCAGTATTATCTGTCAACACCTCCTGCACAGGAAAGCGACCCAATCTCCTTTAAATCTTGATAACTTTTTGCCTTCAGTGACAGAGATCTGTGATCTACAAAGGCCTCATTATCCACTGTGTGGAAGAATTGTTTTAAAGAACATCATCTGTTCAGTCAGTCAGTTATGCTTCTTGTAGTACAAGACAGGAAAACACACTACTGGCTCACCTTGCATTTGTACTATTCATTATTTAACACATTCACAATGGTCTCTTTTTCAAAAGTAAGAAGTAGATAGAGTCAATCTCAATCTTTCATTTTCTTTTCATATGAGTAGAGCCAGAGCTCTTCCTCTAAGTCTACACAACATCAATAAAACCATCATGAAAAAAACACAATTTCATAACTGTACACCATAGGTGACTAGATAAGTTGGAATGTCCCTAGGATTTTAATCAAAACCCAAAGGTATTGCTCACCCCCAGTATTACAGCCCTTTCACCCATCCACCCAGTAAGAGTCCTGTGCTCTGCAAAGTCAACCCACTGCTCATGGAAACAGAACTCCAGAGAAGAAAAGCAGCGTATCTTGCTTAGATGCTTGAGGCCAAAAAAGTTGCCCAGCCATGAAAGGCCTAAATACAGATTTAAGCAACTGTTGTTTTGTTTTCTTCTTTACGTATTTGCAAACGTCTGTGGAACTGTCCACAGAGATGCATGCTCCTCAGGTTTTGATGTTATTACATATATGAAAGCCAGATCCTGCCGGTCCCACAACAAAAACACAAATGAAAACAGAACCCAAGTGTTTGTCAAAAGCACACAGAAACTCAATCAAAGCAAATGAAGATGTAATGTGACAGAAGCTAAACAACTCTGAAAATTACTTGATTTCAAACAGATTTTAATTATGTCTTGTAGCTATACATGTAGCAGAATTACTCAAAGGTTTTCAGACATCTTATTAGCTTAAAGCTAGTTCTATGCAAAACGATTTCCGGATTTATCCATGTATGGTATACTTAAGTTCCTTGAATGATTCAAATCATAAGCATGACTACCTAAGGAAATTTATCACTGTAAAAGCACTCAGTTGGCAACTGTTTTTCTTAAAGAAGTGATGAAGAAAGTAGGAAAAAAATAGGTTTGTATTATTTAAGTATTTCTTTTTAATAATCTTAACATTTCAAATTTGAAATACTATGTACCCAAGAAGCTTATGTTCATAGGTCTTTCCAGCTTGTCAAGCAAGTCTGTGCTTGCAGTCTGCAAGCATGACTTACACCACATTTATTTT